ATAATAAAACTGATTTTTAACTCGCCTTATATTAATAAGTAGTAGACTAAGAAAGCCTAGAAAAAAAAACGATCAAACTGACTCTCTGACTGAAAATACGACAACAGAAAATGGTAAGATCGGTCGAGTTTCTTCGAAAAACTAATAAAAGGCTGCTCTTCAACCGATCAAAAGGTACTTACAATTTTAATCAAGGTTTGTATTTTTAGTCTTCTGCTGAAGTGAAAAATATAAATTTTGGCGTTGGATCAATTTCAATAAAACAACGATAGAGAATGTTTTTTTCTGGACTATACCTATCCTAAAAGGTTGTCGTATGCACACTTCCATACCTGATGATTCGAACAGAAGGTGAAACAACCAGGACCTTTCGCTATCGGTATTTCGGCATTCATTGCTTCAGCTAAGTGAATGTTTTTCTTTTACCTTTAATTTTTATTGATCTATGTTATGAGTTTCTATGAATCATCGATTATTTTCACATCCCTACCTAGTTTCGATATTTTCTATTGTCACCTTCCAACTTCTGAAATGTCCCGCGCACTTTATTATTTTTCCGTTGGGAGATCTTTCTTCAGTAACTAGTTTTAAACTCAGATGAAACGTTGACTTTTCTTTCGACGACTCGAGAACCTGAGCAATATTTTTTTCATAAGCTAAACTGAAATTGCACACGAACCAGACGATAAATTATGCGGTTTTTGACAGCCACCACACCAATGACAACCTACTACTACTACTACAGCCACAACAGTCCACTGATGGACACATGCCTATCCCTAGGGGGTATTGCCATACTCACCACACCTGGCAGGAGGATTAGTCGCCTTTTACGATCCCACGGATAGAAATGTGTTGAATATTTTCCAAGCTGGCATCACACGGCATATATAATGACAACTCACGTATTAGGTTAAAGGAGCGTGAACTGTTATAGACGGAATTTGATGATGATATGGCCAGTTAATGTAGACTTCTTTGAACAAAAAACTGCAACTGGAAAGATACCGGACAATCGTGCGAAGCGTGTGAGATCCTATAAGCTAAGTTGCAGCGATGTCGGCAAATATGAAATGAGTATGTTTCTGTTTTAGTTTTTTAAGTGAATTCGAAGTTGAGATTAGTTTGCTTGCTACGGGGTTGAGTTTTCGTATTTTTCTTTGCAATTTAATGCATGGTCTTGTGCCAGCATAGAACATGAGTGTGGCTTGTTTTAGCCAATAAGAAATCAAGTATGTTATAAACTTGTTATAAACGTCATACGCGTTTTTAAAGTGATTTAGAAAAAAGGCCACAGAAAGTCAAACTCTCAAGACAGATTCTTTACACGCACAGCATAAGAAGATACCTACACGATTTTTTTTATTTAGATAACAAATATAAGACTTAGTCATAATTTCTTGATGGGTGGTACCTATGCTCAGTTACACAGTGTAAATAGACCTTTCTTATGTCGCTCACATGAAATTTACATTGGCGCCATTGTGTAACTGGATGTAAACTCTGCTATTAAACTCAATACACTTTATAAAATCCAAACAAAATAAATCTATATTGGTAATTTAATAACGCTTTAACAAGGCAAACCTGTTATAAACGAATTATTTATGCAATAAGTGCCTCATTTCCTTCACGACAATTTGAATAAACAATTTGTTGTAAGAAGTTTGAGCTCGTACTTAAACCGAAACTTCGATAGCATGCATTAAAAATTACTACTCTGATTTAATAAGTGGAGTTTGTTAGGAAGAAGTTTTAGGAGTATCATAAAGTTTATGCCGCAAACTAACCTGTTATTATAGGTAGGAGGTATTTAACCTCGTGATTCAAATATGCACTTCGTAACCCAGTTACCTCGTGATTCAAATAAGCACTTGGAGTAAAAATAAACTTTACTCTCTCGTTGTACAAATAACTATTCCTCGTGAAAATTATGTTCATACAATTTTACGTATGTCAGTATTCAAACAGTTTAAACAAACGCTATATAACTATTGCTGCAATCTAGTTAACCATCTTCTATCATCAAATCAACAATCACCTTGATTGCACGCCATATTGAGTGACTATTTTTCATTTTTCTTCTCGTTCTATCTTAGATTAGATGCCTTTTAGTTGCTTAACAACGCTTCGGAAGAACACTTTTCGATAATTTAAGCTCTTTATCCTATTCCTACTAATAATATTATAAAGGCGGATGTTTGTGTGTGTGTTTGTTACGACATCACGCAAAAACGGCTGATTAGATTGACATGAAACTTTGCAGAAATATAAAAGGGCATCTGGAATAACACATAGGATACTTTTTACCACGGAAAAATGTCTCATTCCCACGGGATCACGCATTTTCCAATATTTTTGAAATAGGTGGCGTGACTGAGCCGATTCGCGTTTTAAACGTTTTCGCCGAAAACTAACAGCGACATCTCTTGGCGAATAATGCTTTTTTCCCGCTGAATAATAGGTTGCAGCGGGTGAAACCGCTGACGGGCAGCTAGTCAGTTATAATTATAACAGTAAATCCGTAAAAATGTATACTATAAAAACGATCTGATCTTTGCCGTTGATATATCCAGGGGACCTATTATTGTTCTTATGTAAAACTATAAAACCGACTGAACAAACAAAACTAGAATAAACTGGGCAGTTGTACAAAATTCCAGTGATTTCACCAGGTACGGATATCCATACCGCATTGTGGACGCGGGCAGCCGGGCTATGCGTCGCGTTGGTCGCCGCACTGCGCTCTTTTCAACCACGAATACACGATTGTCTGCACTAAAATCACTATGAAGTGGCTAAAAATAGGAAATATTTTTTATCGTCTACAATGTTTAGATTTGTGAATGTGTGATGCTGAGCAATATCATCACGTGAGTGTTGTAAAAAGCGACTAAGGCATAATCATCCAGGCAACGCCAGCAGCGTTCCTTGTAACTCCGCCTGCCAAGCGTGGTAAACGTATGGACGTATGGCAATACCCTCGGATAGGGGGAGGCCTATGACCAGCAGTGGACTGTTGTAGCTGTTATGGTATGGTATCTAGATCGTCATAATCACTACATGCAAGTAGAATAACTATGCAGCTGCGTTTATCAGTGGTAAATGGTATTATTTTCATGGAAGAAATGGAAATCGGAAACTGAAAAACACCGAGGTTGTACTGCATTTCAGATCAATAGGAATTCGTAAGCATCCTATGTCAAAGACCAATAAGTAGAACAAGCTTTAACCCCTTTTGTGGGTTTATACATTTACTCTATAGAATCTTCTGTTCTCTTCTTTGTTTGCTATCTTCAGAAGCTGAGATATTTTCAACTTTGGAATGTATATTAATGCAAAACTCTTCCTAAGGCCAACCGACATATTTCGCTGTTTCCTGAATAGCAAACAGTCTGCGTTCACAAGAATACGCTGCAAAAATGCAAAGATGCATTTTATTTACGTCGTTTGGACTGTTTTATAGACATTCGGAATTTGTCCGGCCATTCGCTGCTAGTGTTTAAGTTTAAATGTATAATTTACGGCCTCTGGAATTACGCCTGTAAAGTAGAGTATTGTCAGATACCGGCTTTTCCCTGCAGACTTCAGACATACCTTTTGGTAGGGATAAATGCAGCTGGTAGTGGCTGCATTTACCGCGATATGTTTGGAAGAATACGTAACCAATTCCTGGGCATATTTAATTTATTTTTGTATGTCCTAGAACCTAGGTTGTATTTAACATAAGATCAGCTGCCTGAACTCTGTTTTTCTCTGAATCAAAATCATTACCTACAGCGCATGTCACTTTTCTCTGACACAAAAAGTGATGAATTGTTTGTCGAAAAGCTATGTTAATCTTCTATTTATGACACAAGTAGACTGAACTAGGTATTTATGTACCTACCCTTTTTTCCTGCAGAAAATATAACAAAAATGAAACAAAGAGGGGGCGTCGTAAGACGCGGCCGAGGGATGAACCCTACCCAAACAGCCAGGGCCAACCGTATTGTGGCGGTTAATCCACCAGAAAAGCGTTCCCAAGGAGGGTTGACGTCTGGTAGGCGGCCGGTCGTAGAATTCTGCCAAATCCTATTGCAACACGATTTTGTGTTCAACGAAACGTGTTTCGCCGACCCCAAGTAATTGGGATAAGGGCAGGAAGATAATGGTGAATGAAACAAAGACAGGCTTATACCTTGAGTATAGTCGTTTTACCCAAGTGATTCCCAATCATGTTAGCTAACACTGAGCCGATTCTATCTCGACACAAGGCTCTGCCAACAATCTTGTTGGAACTAGACTAATCAATGTCTCAAGTTAGTATTAGCTAAACTAGTTCAGAGTTGACTATCATTCTGCTTGAGTAGGACACCAGTTGAGTTTAAAATAACATTCTAACAGGAATTAGTTAGGACATTGCGGTCTGACACACTTGAAGGTTCCGTGCTTCGGAGGGCACGTTAACCCGTAGGTATCAGTTGCTTGGATAAGGGTCATTCGGCTACCATGTCAGAGGCCTACTAGAAGAAATAAGCGGTTGAAAAACTCTGATAACATAGTTCAACGGGACTTTCGTCGTTGGTGCAACTAAAGATTATAATTTGTGCCGAAATGATTATGAAAGTTACCTTTGCAAGAAAACAGGGATAGATAAGACAACATACATTGTCTGATTTGGAAAAGATTGATGAACTTTTTACAGTAGAAAGTAAGGTAAGATTGACCGTCTAAACTACACCTAGATAGTTTCTTCTTCTTGTTCGAGTGGGACACCAAATCATCCAACGACCCGATGGACTTTAGCATAGATAAAGTAGTAGATTCTGCCATATTTGTGTAATGACCACCATTTAAATGATCAGAGACAGCAACTGGGACCGGCGGCTTAATGTAACGACGGCTTAACCATCCGAAGCATGGAACCTATCTTGCTTTTCGGACAATCAGGTGGTTCAGCCTGCAATGCTCTACCCAGACTGGGAACAAATTCACAGAGTGATAAATATCATCTTTGTGAGTGAACCCAGCGGGAATTGAACCCGGAACTTTCTGCTTCGCAGGCAGTCGTACCATTGTCGTACTAACCACTGCGCAACATCGGCTACTTAGGTAGTAGGTAGGTATCCTAACTTAGTCACCCTAAGTCAACGATCTTAGCCGTCCTTGCTCACGTTTTGCCTCTTAGGGCTCATACCTAGTACTCAAAAACTTGGGCGATCAGTGTCTAAACTCAGCTAAGTTTAGTTTAAAGTTAGGTTCTCGTAAAGTTCGCGTTGACCTCGTCACCTCAATCATGTTGAGTGCTACTAAAACTGGTTATAAGGGTAAGTTTCTTGTGTGTTCTGATAGGATACAGCGTTTCAGTTTTCTCCTCAAAATATTTTTCTCCAGTAAACCTACTTGAAAGAAAGAAATATTGTTGCATAGATATTAGCAGAGAATACTAGCTACAGCTACTGCTGTTACTTCTAAAAAGAATCATGGCGCAGTTTGATCATAAAGAGTCAAAAGATGATGAGGAAGAATCGGAGTACCTACAGGTCACATCATCATCATCTTCCTGCCCTTATCCCAATTTGCGGTCGACGCAACACATTTTGATGAACACAAAATCATTTTTCAAAAGTATTAGGCTTAATTTTACGACCGGCCGCTTGCCTGACGACAAGCCTCTTTGGGAATGCTATCGTGGGTGGTGTTACCGCCACCATACGGTTTACCATACTTACAGGTGACGCGAGATGCCTTGGATACTGGAAAATACTTTTACCAAATATCCTTTGGAATAATCTTTTCTTTGCTCTTAACCTAATAAACCTATACACTCAATCTATCGGTGTACATCACACTCATAGAACTAACTATGCCTATAAATTCCACGGCATATGGCACTCGTAACTACTAAACTTTAGCTCACAGACAAACAAACAAACGAGGCATGTGTAGGGTTACCAGGCAGTCGAATCAATCCGGACAAATCAGGAAAAAATATTAGAGTTACCAAGTAGTTGTCAAAGTGATCTTTCTGAGAAATGGGTATTAACTTTAAGGCTGTAGACATTTAAGGAAGTAGACGTTTAAGGAATGAAAAATTGTAGAAAGTGAGATTGCAAGGAATAGACGTTAAAAGACGTACCAGTCCAAGTAAACATGAGAAAATTGTCAGGATGAATCAAGTTTAAGATTTTCTGTAGTCTTTATTGGACTAAATTGCAAAAAGTAGCTAACACTAGGTACCGTTTACATTAACAGTCACACAAAGTTAACATTTTTGTGGACTAGAACTTTTGAATTCTTCTTTGCTTTTCACATACAATATCAGAAGCTTTTTAGTAAAATCAATACAGCTCAAATTGAAAACAGTCGATTTACAATACGACAACTGAATTAATTACATGCCTATGCATGCTTGCTCCTGAACATCTTACTGTATATAACATAGTTTATCTACACTCATTTCGTAATATTCGTTTTACAGAATCGAAAGCAGGTACGTAATGAACTGCAATAAGAATTATACAGCTTTAAAAATTAATTTCCCTACTAAAATTTTAATCGTAATGGATCGTAATGTCTAGTATTTCAAAAAAACCGAAACGAATATGCCGCTTTTTTATTTTCTGAGTCAACAGTAAGTCAAACAAAAAAAAACAATTGTCACCCGGGCGGGACGACACTTGAAATTATGAGGACTTATTTATTATTAAATCTTTGCTCCAAATCATTTTTCCAATAAAATTTACTGATAAATGCTTTTTAATTTTAAAAGTTGTTCAGTTTTTATGAGTCACCATATTAACGTTTAGTTAAAAAGTTACTTTATGTACAAAAGTCTTTCAGTTGGTGGTTCAGTAGATAGGCTTGCAATCGCCATAGTGCAGTGCGGAGGTTTGAATTATTTTTCATAGTTTTTCTTGTAGAGTGTAGATAAAATAGTGTATGCAATTACATATAATTAGGCTTTAGAATGCTCGTGTCAAACTATTATCACACTTGGCTGCACCTCGTGTGACAAACAGACACTCACATCCTAAAGCCTCTCATTATAAGGCAATTGCATAAACTACTATTTGAGCAAATAAGTTTCTGTATTTCTGTGTTTTTAGTGGTCTTGATTTTTTCTTTATTTATGATGTCTATGATTAATTAAAAGTATGGCTACCCTGAAACGTAAAAGCCTGCCATTGGTCGTCAGCAAACACAAAATCCGGTGTAGACTAGTTTAGCGCAGTTTGCTCCGGATTTCGGTGATTTGTCCAACTGTTTCAGTAATCGGTTGTAATTGTTTCAGCTTTGTGGATAAATCATTTTGTATGCGGCTGTTGTGGTTGAATCATATGCTTTATTTCACTGTCTGATATATAGAAGTAATTATCATCCACTGGAGTGAAACGTGTACTGCTAGCCAAAGTCGTCACCCAGGAATCTCGATTAATTCACGGTTTTAGACCGACTGGATCCAACGGCTGCTTGCAAGCCTTACTGAGGTGACTTTGGTCGGCGACTTATCGGAAGTCGCTTTTACGCTCGTAAAAAAGAACGAGTGATCCGTGAGTCACCGATGATGAAAGTCGCCTGTGTGCACGCCGTATTAGAAGTTTGTTGGTTCAGTCATCCCTGCAAGGATGCCGTTCTACGCTAAAATTTCTGATTCATAGTCAACAGAACCAGTCGCACCTAATTTTAGATGGAATCAAGTTGAGTTTTAACAAAATAGGACGCAATGCAGGTGCCCAGTGTTGACTTAGTCTCAGTGCTGCCATAGTGTTGCCAGACGGTATTAGCAGGCGGGCAAACGACGCGGTCGCGACGGCATCCCGTCAGTCACGTGCTCACGTTGCGGTCATTTTGCTGGCTGGCAACCCAGGTGAACACTGGCAACACAGGCTAATGCTGACTAATGTCCATTGACGGAGAGAATAAGGCTGCATTTGTAGAAAATTAAATACGGCATTAGCCACCATACACCAGTAAAACATTTGTCAAAATAAATATAAAAACATTATCTTATATAAAGAGTACCAGTTTGAAAAAATATTTTCTGTAACATAGCCATGTCGCTCTCATGTCAGGACGATTCTCACTATCCCTCTTCATCATTCGGATTTCTATACTTATTCATTTACTGTGCATGCAGCCAGGCTGTGGAACTCTCTTCCGCACACTGTGCGCGATAGTCCGACTATCTCTGTGTTCAAAAGACGAGTTAAACAGCATTACCTATCTCTTCCTTAGTAATCCATTTAAGTATATATATGTATATATATATGTATCTATATATTTAGTTTATGTAGGTCTATATAGTTAGAGATACCTTCACGGTAAATGTTGATCAGGCGCGACTTCACGCGAGTTATTTGTTGATCCGAAAACACATGTTGATCCGACGTCTTAAGTTGATCCAATGTGCATGTCTGGTAACTAATGTGGCTCCGATCGGATCAACATCTGCACTCAGGGGACTAAAAAGGGACTAAAATAAAGTCTATGGAAATGTTGATCCGATATACGAATCCACCCTGCAGTAGTTTTGGCAAATGTTGATCCGATTTGAATGAGCCAATCAGAGCACAGTAATGATTGGATTGGCTGAAATCAGTCGCGACGTTGCCATTTCGTACATTTGGCCGCACAAACTTAGAATTTATCTTCCGGCACTTGACTAACATGTTCGCGGGTGCTGACGCATCAGATTTTCCGCATCTTTGGGATCTGGTGCCTTACCACGCGGGTAAGCTCGTCGGCCTTCCCCGGTCAACATCATCACCGCCTGGCTGGAAGTCGCTCACTGGGCCTACCTGAACAGGGTCCCACCTGGTGGCCTGACTTGCCGGCGGTCCTCGAAGAAGACAAGAGCGAAAAGGAGTAAATACCTTCCAACTAATTCGGGCGAAAGCGCTCGTATTAGTTTACAGGAATTAGGAAATCTGTATACAGGATGTAAAATAAAATGTCATGAGGCACGCGCGAAGTGCGAAGGGCGACAGGAAAGGACAATTGCGAAGGGCGACGGCAAACAGCAACAGCAAAAGGCGAACGGCGACGACGAAGAGCCAGGGTAAAGGACGACGTCAAAAGCCCACGGTAGAGAGCGACGGTGAAGGGTGACGTCTAAGGGCGATAGCAAAGGGCGAAAGGCAACGGCGAAGGGTGACGGCCAAGAGCGACGAAAAAGGGCGATGGTCAAAGGCGACAGCCTCTAAATCCTTGGGGTAAAATTAGATAAGATACGGTGGCATTTTCTGGGGTTGTCAGAAGTCCGAAGAGAGGGAGAAGACACGATAACCCTAGAATGAGGTGGCCTATTTTACTTTAGGGAAAGGAGCACACAGTCCCAGGGTGGCGTAGGTTTCCTCGTCAATAAAGCTCTCTGTGACAACGTGTAGGAGATCTGCAGCGTCTCGAATAGGGTAGCGTACCTCGTACTGAAGTTAACCGAGAGGACTCTCAACAGACATTATGCGCCGACTTCGAGCAGCTCAGATGAAGAGGTGGAGGTCCTATACGACGATGTGTCGAAGGCCATACACCAAACCACAAAGATCCACTTCACTGTTGTCATGGGGGACTTTAACGCTAAAATGAAACAGGAGCACGGCGAATCAAGATTGGGTCCACATGGCTACGGGAGCAGAAACCAGTGGGGCCAAATGCTATTCAATCTCCTTAGCAGACACAGGCCTGGTGCACTCCGCGGCGTAGGTATAGAGTTGCAAGTACATGCGGCGGCCCCTGACGCCCTCTCCCAAGTCCAAAGGATCGCTGCTGGAGTCCCCCAGGGTAGCTGTCTGTCTCCAGTTTGCTACGCCAGGTACACGGATGACATCCCGGTTGAGGGCGGCACTAAGCTGGTGCTCGAAGTCGATGACGCTGCATTTTTTTCCGTGTCCCTCAACACGAGGCACGCGGTCAGGAAAATGCAGATAGCCTTAGACGCCCTCCCAGCCTGACTGGCGAAATGGAGACTGACGGTTAACGTGGGTAAGACTCAAGCGATCATCGTGGGGCGTGGTCGAAGAGATCCCCCGAAATTGAAGCTCCATGAAGAGGAGATTGGGTGGTCCACAAAGGCTAAATGCCTGGGTGTGA